TTGTCAGATGGAAGACTGATTATTTTAGCTCACCAGCAAAGACTGCATAGAAGGCAGAGTGCCAGTGCAGAATCTGCCTGACAAGTGGCTGCCACCTCGGTGGTCTCGCAATCGTCGAGTGATATGGATGGACTGCTGTGTGCGGTACCAGAAAAACGAGAATCGAGTGAGGGTCTGGCAGTGCTGTATTTGATTGCTTGAGCATGAAGTCATGGTCTGCAACAACTATGCCACATGTGAATTTCAACGAGTGATTGCATCATGTCTGTCTCATCCTTGTGTTGTGATGGATCAATCGACTCACAAGTGTGTCAACTGCTGAATGTGCTGGTTCACAATTACGTTGTTAATTCGAACACCCTTGAGGTTAAGGTGTTACACTTTCTTGCGGATAGGACAGAGTGCCATGCACAGTGCAATTCGGAGTGCCATGTCTGCAGCAGCAGATGACCCGGCTGAAACAAGAAGAAGACTGTTAGCAGACATTCGGCGGCAGTTTGATGCAAACATCGCACTGGAGAAGAGATTCTTGGCCATTTCGAGAGGACAGGATGTTCTGCGCCTTTGCGAAGTTGACCCGTCGCTTCTGGAGTTCCATAATGAAGGTCCTTATGAAGTTCTGCCTGAGTGCAACTATGATGTGATTCTTGAAGCCAGTGGGTTTTCCTGGATGATATCAATCTGGCAACAAATGTTATCAGAAACTTTTCCCATCATGACTTCGTGGCCATGGAAGAAACAGATGAGATTCCTCATCAACTTTTGTCATTGGAAGCGGAACATAAGGCAGAGTGCCAGGTTCCACTTCCTGGAGATCTTTGCAGGGCAGGGCAACCTCAGTCGGGAGATGCTCCGTGCTGGCTGGCAGGGGCTAGCCTTGGACATCAGGTACGGCACAGATCATGATATTCTTTCTGTGAGAGGACTTCGCCTGGCTGTCAATGCTGTGTGTCAAACACACAAACACGGCCTGTTGTGGTTTGGAACTCCATGCTCTTCCTTCGTCCAACTCTGTAAATACAGTACTGGAAGGTCCATTGCCAATGACTGGATGGGAGAACCTGAGCGATCGCTGGCATGCCAAGAAGGCAATCGTTTCATGTATGTGACGCTGCTGTTGACTTTGCTCGCGGCTTTGAATGACAACCGTTTTGTGATCGAGCAGCCTTGCTCCAGCATGCTGTTCGACATTCCACTCGTCGATCGTGTCATGGGAATGATCCAGGCTATGAAGGTCAAAACCTATGGTTGTGCCTTCGGCCAGCCCATCCTGAAACCGCTTCAACTGTGGAGCAACTGTCAGCACATCAATGGTATGCGGCGCAGCTATCCTTCCCATGTCAGAGGAGGTGCTGGTTGCGTTGATCGAGATGGTGAGAAGTTCACCGGTCGTCCTGAAGATCTTCAGGTGTCAGAGGAGTACACCCCGGAGTTCGGCAAGGCTGTGGCCTTTCATATGATGAGTGATGTCCCAACATGAATTGTAGCTGAAGGCAGAGCGCCAATAAGGCAGAGTGCCATAATTCTCTAGAGTTAAATGAGCTTGCTTCATCTTTCGACATTCTGTCTTGTTGGTATTCTGCTTTCCAATGTTGGGACTGGGTTGAGCCCTGGACCCCGTCCGTTCCCTCCACGAGGTGCCGAGGAAAATCCTCGCCGACTCGTGGAAGGATCTGAGTGATCCGAGCTGGTGCAGCTGTGCAATGAAAATGTAGAGAGCTTCAGTCACTCCGTGATCAGATGTGTTTGTCGGTATTGCCTCAGTTCGTATGCTGCTGTCGTGCAGGTGGCAATGACCTGGCTGGTGTCTCGACCTCCAGTTGCAGGCATCGGTGGCCTGTGTTAATCATTCCATGTGGTTGTCAGTTCAGTGCCATCTGCGATAGTTTCCTGTCTCAAGTTCGAGTGACATTATGTGGCTGCTGACATGTCATCGTGAGTCTTTGGGTTGATTTCTTAAGAATTCAATGTGTTGTGAACTGGGGCTTGTTACACAAGTGCAGGTGTGTGTCAGTATTTAGTAAGATTCAAGTACAGTGTTGCTTTGGAGGATTTCGGTGATGCTTCTGAAACTGTGGGTCATGCTATTGCTCCGTGATGGGCAATTGCTTAACTTGGAAAATGATGCAAAACTGCCAGCGAGAGCAGCTTGGCTCTCACAGGGCGAACTGGGGTGGCGTCTGGACTTGTTTTTCGATGAGAGCAACAGGAACGGCTCAGAACGTCGACAGTACCACAAATGGTACAACTTCTTCAGTGATCTTCTCAGGAAGACCCCCTTGGCTGCGAACTGGGGGTCACATGTGCAAAGTCAAAAAGGCAGAGTGCCAAACCCTGATGCTGTGCAGGAGGATGTGGCATCTTCCACAGCCTTGGCCCGATTCATGTTGCAAGCATCCTTCGACACAAGAACAGACGCCCACAGGGAATGGTACAAGAGCAAACTGAAGGATGCTATGGTACGTGTGTGTGAAACTATCAGTGATGAGCCTCTGGTCATGCAGTTGGATGAAGGCAGAGTGTCATGGTTTCTTCAATCAGCTGGGTTGGTGTCAGGGATGATGAAGTCGCTGGCAGGCAACACGTCCCGATCTTTGCGTCAGCTTTGGGAATCTATGTTCAATGCAAGGACGCTGTCTTCATCTCTCCGAGATGAATCTGAAGTCAGAGTGCCACGAGATTGGGAGGAGGTTGAAACTAGCATCTACGACATCATCGCCTTTGCAACCATGGCAAAAAACACAGAGCGCTTCAACCGTCGGGGCAGGCTCATGGATTTGCCAAGACAGTCTTGAATGCCTTCATGCACATACATGAGTGTCTGTCCGAGACATTGTCAGCCGGCCTCCAGGTGTATGTCATGGGGCACTACTTGAGTGTACATGATGCTGGTGTGCCTGTGACGTCTCGCAGGGCACTTCTGGGCAAGCGTGTTCCATTGAAAAAGACTGTGGACATCAAAAGCATCTGGAAGTTGCTAGAGGGCGCTGCAAAAAGTGGGACCTCTTTGCGACAAGCCCTCATTCTCAAGACCCAGGACGAACGCAGCGACCTGCATGGTTCCTTGGTGATTTGATATGGAGTAGAATGTTGTTTTGTTAACCAGTTGTTTAAGATTAGTGAATTCTTTGTCACACAGTCATTTGATGCCACGTACCCGCGCCACAGTCGAACTAAATTCGACTACCGCTCTTGCCATGGCCGACCCGACGTTCGGCTCTTGCGCCAAGCTGTTGGCCAAGTCCAGCAGAAGGTAATGTCGGGGGCAGAAGTATCCGCTGCGAACTCTGGGATGGCACCACGACGACCACG